CTGCTGCTTCCTGAGCAAGGCAAGCATGGAGAACAGCCCTCAGACCAAGAGCCCCTGAGGCGTCCAAAGAATTAAGTTGGGAGGCTCAAAAAGAGCCTTCCTGCCTCTTCAGAACCTGTTGCTCAAACTGTTAGGTTTGCCTGATTATTTGCATCTCTTCCCCCAAATGCATTTTATCATCCCCACAGACTCCCGTTTGTCATCCCCATCTTGATTTTATCATCCCCACGGACTCCCCTTTGTCATCCCCATCTTGATTTTATCATCCCCACGGACTCCCCTTTGTCATCCACATCTTGAGAATCTGAACTTCTCCTGCACTCCTGTGACTTGAGATTTGTTTACAAACAGGATGTTTGCACACTTGCTCGCGCTACCACTTCTTCTGTGACGATGGCTGCTGCATTGACATCACACTCGCCTGCGATGGAGTGCAGCAGTGTCCTGACGGGTCTGATGAAGACTTCTGCCAAAATCGTGAGTTGGCTGTGTCACATTGCCAGGCAGTGGCTGGAAGGGATGGAGTTGGGAGGTCTGTGTTCTGAGAATAAAACGCAAATGCAGTGTCCTTCCCCTGCTTGATTTTGGTTATAACTTTACATGTGAAAGCTATGCCTTAAATGAGAATTCAGTATGTCTCCAGTCTAAGTCGCAAATGTCAAATTTTCAATATTGCTTATGTTTTTAATTTTTTTCAATTTTCCAGGATTTTTCTATCCTAAAAATGCTGCATATCATGTGCTTTCTTAAAAACTGACGTGATTTGATGTTTTGTTTTGATAATTTTTTTAAGAAAATTTACAATACACCAGGGTATGGCTAAGTCAGAGCCAGAGCTGTAAATCAGTCTTATAATGTCATACACATAGAAATGCCCTGTAAGAAAGAAGAAAAACTGACAAAAGTCTAATGAAGTATGGATTTGAGGAAGGACAAAGAGTGGCAAAACCTTAAGTTTACATTTAATATTTGTCCATTTCTTTTTCTTTCTTTTTCTTTTTTTTTTTTGACACCAGTTCTCACTGTCACCCAGGCTGGAGTGCAGTGGCACGATCATGGCTCACTGCAGCCTCGACCTCCCCAGGCTTAGGCGTTTCTCCCACCTCAGCCTCCCCAGTAGCCAGGACTGCAGGCATGTGCCACCATGCCCAGCTAATTTTTGTTAATTTATTGTAGAGATGGGGTTTTGTCTTGTTGCCCAGGCTGGTCACGAACTCCTGGGCTCAAGTGATCTCCTACCTCTGCCTCCCAAAGTGCTAGGATTATAGGCATGAGCCACCATGCTGGGCCCTGTCCATTTCTTTATGTGTAACATTTGGAAAGCTGACTATTGGAAGAAGAAAGAACAGATTACCCATTTGAAAACAAGAGAGAATAGATTTTTATGGTCCTCCGACATGTCTTAGATGAGTGGGCTGTTATATCCAAATATCCGTGATTCTAAATGAGCTGCAGATGTAGTGCTTTTAGTATTAAAGCTCAGAAAAGAAATCCAGCAACTAACAGTAGCTCTTCCACACTTCAGTGGGCCTGGACCGCAAGATGGTAACCCACGTGGTAGCTAGTCCTGCCCTGCCAAGAACCACAGGGCCGAGTGAAGATGCAGGGGTTGACTCCTTGGTGGAAAAGTCTCAGAAAGCCACTGCCCCAAACAAGCCACCTGCATTATCAAACACAGAGAAGAGGAATCATTCCGCCTTTTGGGGACCAGAGAGTCAAATCATTCCTGTGATGCCAGGTAAGGATTCAGGGCAGGTTCTCAACGAAGAACCTTGTTTTCTGTAGTCAAACTTGGCTCACAATTAAGTTTATGTTTGAAGAGTGTTAAGGAAGTATCTTGAAATAAGAGTTGAAATTAAGAAGTTAGCCAGAAAGGGGGGAAAAAACCTTGACATTTGCACTAATGTATAGTAAGGGACACTTAACTAAATACACTCATACATACATACCTACTCCAGAGATACCAATACATTTATTTGTAAATACATTAACATTTAGCTTACAGAAACCAATACTCTAAAGTGTTAAATTTTAGGTTGCTTTGAGATGAAACAGCATAATCATTATGTATTTGTGTAAATCCTCTTCACCCAAGCAAGGGAACATTTAAAAAAGTCATCTTGAAAGAGATGCATGTGCTAGTAATTCAATGTTATGCCTCCAATTTAACTAAATCTATCACTAAAAAAAGTAAGGCTAATAAGATTTATTTTATTTTATTTTATTTTTGAGACAGGGTCTCACTCTGTTGCCCAGGCTGGAGTACAGTGACGCGATCACAGCTCACTGCAGCCTCAACTTCCCAAACTCACATGATCCTCCCACCTCAGCCTCCTGAGTAGCTGGGACTATAGGTGTAGTAGCTGGGACCATCATGCCTGGCTAATTTTTGTATTTTTTACAGAGACAAGGTTTTGCCATGTCACGCAGGCTGGTCTTGAACTCCTGGGCTCAAGCGATCTGCCCACCTCGGCTGGCCTCCCAAAGTGCTAGGATTATAGATGTGAGTCACTGCACCTGGCCTAAAATACATTCGCATGACTAAAGCATTACAGAATTTAGCCAGATGAAGTGACTCACCTATAATCCCAGCTACTCTGGAGGCTGAGGCAGAAGAATTGCTTGAGGTCAAGAGTTTGAGACCAGCCTGGGCAACATAGTGAGACCTTGTCTCAATCAATCAATCAGTAAGTATTACAGGATTCCATCATTTTTTTCACACTTATTATTTGCATGATTATGTAACATGAGACAGAAATAGAGATTATCACATTTCCAAAAGCTTTTGTAATGTCTTTTCAGACTCCGCATAAATTGTATTGAAATAACCTGACATGATTTTAGTAGGTTTATTAAGAAAAATTTTTGTTCATTGTACAAGATATGGAAGATGCAAAATAATTTAAGGACAGTGAACCTAAAATGCCACCTCTTTTGAAAACTGCTTTTAATATTTGTTATATTTCCTTCTACTCCTTTGTTTACGTGCCTTGTAGATTTTAAGTGCCTCCATAAAAATTTGTCTGCAAAACATTGCATTCTAAGGGGCTTTTCTTTCTGAGTTTTCGTTAAGTATATTGCAAGTGTCTGCTTTTTTGGTCCATTCCTTGTTGGTACTGCCACCTACTGGTAAAATCAGTAAAATCGGCAAGCCTTTGGATGTGGTTTTAGTGGGTTTTCTCTGCTTAAGACAGTTTGTATGGAGAAGAGCGTCACAACCTAAGAAACAGAGTCAGGGGAGACCAGGCGTCTTTGGCAGGACTGCCAAAGGGGTGAAGAGTTTATGGAGAGATCTGTGTTATCAGAGGCCAGGATGGATGAATTCCTACCATCTCACTGTGGTGGAGAGAACCGCGTGA